ATTAAATCAAGATTTCTTGTCATGTGAAATGATAGTTTCCTTATTTAATCAGGACTTTGTAATATGCAACTGATAAACTATTTCACGATGGCTGCAAAGATGAAATTATGTAGCAGATACTGTACAAAATACCTACCCAAGAACTTCAAAGTACCCAAGCAAGCCTTTCCTCCTTTTGCAGCTCATTCTCATTAACCCACTGTTAATGAGAGGAGCTCCCACTGCTTCTTTTAAGAAGAAAGTTCCCTGACTTTGGAAGATGGGGAAGAGGGACTGAGGTCTCCCTAGAAAGGTCCCTCAATATTACTTTATCCCCCCAAAGACAATTCATTGCCAAGAGAATGGTGGTGAAGCTGCTGCAGTCCAGAACAAGAGTACAGGATGTTCCTGCAGGGTAAGCCACAAAGGCCCAAAAAACCTTCCTAGGGAAGGCAGTTGTGATGCTTAAGTGGAAAACTTCTAAATGCACCTCATTACCCAGCAAATCCATTTCCCCAGCTCCTCCTCCTTGACAAAACTGCTTTGAAGGAGTGCTTCTGTCACATGCTGTGTACCTTCTAAGCCTGCCAGCTTTCCTCAGCCTACCTTCAGAGGAATAAATGCCTGGAAAGCTGGAAACAAACAGAGAGAGCTTATTTTCCAATTCAATGTTACTTTCCATGCAAGCAGTACAGACAGCAGCTTGGGGATGGCCCAGGCTCAGAACTTCAAACTAGTCTTTTCCTTATACTATAACTCTTTCCTTTAGCAACCAAATCCTAATTGCCATGAGATTCTGGGGTCCGCTAAGCCAAGAGATACCCAACAAATATCCAGCCTTACTCTACCGAAGACACCTGTTAGATAAGAATGGGCGACAGAACATTTTGCCTGTTGAGAGAGCAGAGGGGAGGCTGCTCGACCAATGCTGAAAAGGTATGTCCAAGGGTGTAGGACAAGCCTTCACTCAAAACCTTGAGCTCCAGGCCCAGGCAATGCAAGCCCTGGAATTCTAGTCTTTTTCTCTTGAGTAGTAACCAAAAGCCAAACCCCAAAGCCCTTTCAACATCAATCTCTTCTAAAACTGAAGTTTAAAGCAAAATTTTACCACAATGGTCATCCTCCTACTCTCTCTGCTAAGTACATTATTTCTGTTTCACTCAGGGTCATAAATTTATTTCATGTCTTATCTTAACTGGGAAAAATCTACTCCATGTTCCAATTTGCTCAAGTTCAAACTCCCTAACCCTTGCTGCTGAAAAGGAGCTGGAGCTGTTTGGCTTTTTCCCAAGGGAGTCTGGCAGGTGGTGACTGCAGGTTAGCTCTGCAATTTGAAAAGTGACAACACGGCATCCAGAGGAATGCTAGGCCCACGTATGTACACACCAGCTGCCACTGATTTCTCACTAGGGCCTCCAACAGAATCCCTCTCTGAGCCATCTTTCCTTAGTACACAGAAATAACAGTGCTCTAGCGGTACCAGAGAAGAATGCCAGAACTTACATGCTTGACAATTATACCACCAGCTTTAGGTACAAAACCATAGAACCTCCAACTTGCGGTGAGACTGGGAAAAGATGATGATCATCTGGTTAGATTTGTGCTTACCTGAAGATTCAGGAATGTGGAATCCATCCTGTGTACTCAATGTCACTTCTTGATTCCCCCCACCAAACTCATACACCACAGATTACTAGTTCATTTTAATTCTACTCACAAATATTGATCCCTTGATACATGCTCTGGCCCTGAGATGACAAAAATGTATAAAATGTAGTTTCTGCTCCTAGGAGTTCACAGGCACTGGGAAGACAAGTAATGAAAATAAATACAAGCAAGCTACTAAGTGCTATCTCATGTACTGGAACACTGTCTATAAAACTGGTCAAGAACAAAATTAGGTTTTGTTTACTCTTTTACAATTATCTCCTAAGGACAGGAGGAAGCTGGAGGTAGTAGTGGTGGGTAGTTGTGGTCAACTTGAAAGTCCTAGTTTTAGTCTTATTTGAGTTTATCTAATGCTCACTAGAAAATACTGGAAAATGACCTAAGCCAGTCATATAGTTAGTTGTAAGATCCCAAACAAGAGGTGGAGTAGGATGTTAAAATGAGAAAAAAATACTGCCTCTCCACAGCAGTTTATGTTGTTAATCACTCTTCACGGATCCTCTTCCATTCTTGATTTTTCTCCCACTTCATTAAACCAGTCAAAAATATATAAGGTATCTACTAGTGATTTGACTGTCACCTTAGGTTTTGCTTTCTCTCCTCATGCCTTAAATTGAGTTTTTTAGGTTTATACACTATGTTTCTCTCCTTAACTAATTTTCTAAACTATCTTATTCATGCGTATGGCTTTAACTACCACCTATATCAGTATGACTCCCATATCTGTAACTGTGGTTTTATAGTCTTACCTGAGCACCAAATCTGTTTACTGGAAACCTTACCCTCATTGCCCTACAAGGTACCTCAAAACAATCTACACAAGGCTAATTATCTTTCTTCACGAAACTCACTGCCTTCCTTCTACTCCTCCCCGACCTCCATTTTAATTAGAAGAATGTCCCAATATACTCACATGCTAGAGCAGAAATCTGGGCGTTAGCCTCTACTCCTCTCTTCCCTTCCCATCAACCACTGAGTCCAACTATCTCATCTCTCAAATCTGCCCTTCCCTCTTTATAGTCATTGCTATAGCCTTGTTCCAGTCCCTCATTATCTTTGTCGTGTACCATGGGACTATCAGGCTAATCATATCCCCCACCAAACTTTAAGCTCCTTAAGGAGAGAGACACCGTTTTCCTCATTTTCAAACTGTGCCTGCCTTCTCTCCCACAATAGTGCTGGCACAGTGCTTTGCATGTTTGTCAAATGAAAAATAAATGGAGGCCTTGTGAAGTATTACTGCATAACAATCTATAGTATTATTCTAACATAAAGTCTATCAGCGATGTAATTAATCCCAAAAGTTTGTTTTGCTGGTAGGAAAAAAAAAGAGAGAGACTGCACTTTAGAAATAGAAGCCACTGTTGTCTTTATAAAACACAGAATTGTGCTGCTGATGCTGCTTGCTTCAGAAGGAACTGTACATTACAGCTGCTGGGATAATTTCACAATGGACTAGACAAGATATAGCTCAAAGCAGGACACAAACACAAGTTTCAAAGGGAAACAAATGCAAACAAGTACACAGCTGTGGGGTTCCAGGGACATTTCCCCATCCATGCTGGACTTGAGAGGGATAAAAAGTTTAGAAACTAAAGTGAAACCCAGAGTCGTCACACATGCCCACCACATGGCTGCTAAGTGCAACATCACACACTAATCAGGTTGGACCGTGTGTGCAGGAAAGTCATTTCATTTTTCCTTATTGCTACTACACCAGGGGACTCAGTGCATTGGACACACTGTCTTAACTTGTCTAGGGTTTCCTAGTTTCCTTTTCAAAGAAGAAAATAAGGAAATCTCCCTTCCCCACCTCATTCTGTTTTGTTGGTTTTAGCCCAATCCTTCCACTCCCTTTCTTGGGCTCCCAAACAGCAGCCAGAGGTTCTAAGTCAATAGGAGTAGAGTAAGGGGAGAGCACCAACTCAGCCTCTCTCCCTGCCCAGGGAGAAGGCAAGTCCTAATAAGTGGGGGGAAAGAGAAAACCAGAGAATCCCTCCTCCCCAATCTGCTTAGAAGGCCAAATAGGAAAGAGTGCCCTGCATATTCCTGCCATGATCAGACTTTAAGAAGGAAGGCATCCCAGCTACCATCCTGAATTGGCCTAGGCCCAGTAAATAAATAAAAATAACTTCCCCCAATGTAGCTTCCAAAACTGTCTTTTGGCTAGTTTGAGATGACCTTTCTACCCTGAAGGAGAAGAAACTTCCATCCTTGTTTGTTACACATGACGCCAGGTCCAAAACATTGTCCCACCAGCCTTGCAGATATCCATGGGCCAGCTAATAAGTCAGTGTTCCCTTGGCTGCCCATCTTGAGTGCTGGCCTCATTCATGGAATTCTGGACAGAAAAAGAAAAGTATCCAAAAACATTGCTACTTAGCCTAAGAAGAGGCCACAGAGAAGCTATCTAGTGGGTGGGAAGTAGGAGATTTTTAGGAAGGTTTCACAATTTTAGGTACCTTCTTCTTCAGCCTTATTCTAAGCCTAAATTCCCAGCAAAAACAGCCCCAGGCTTATCCCTAGAGGCCAGCATTAGCACCTCAACCATAATGGGTCAGGCTGGACTGGATAAACAAAGAGAAGAGCTCTCCTTTCCTACCTTTTATCCAAATTTTCTCCATTCTCTCCTCACCACTCTCTTCTTCCCCACGTATATCCCCTAATGCTCCAACCCTGGATACCCAAGTAGCTCAACCATAAGACAATCTCTAGAAAAGGGGGGCGGGGGGAGGCAGAGAGTGAAGGAAACAGATCTAGAAAAAGCAATGAGGGAAACCAGCTCCAAGGAGTGAACAGGAGTGGGAACTGCAAGAAGCCCTCCTGATTTCATGCCAGTTGGGCAGGCCTGCTGTTTTGCCTTAGTATAAGCTAGAGGGCAGTCCAGCCCAGGGTGGACACCTCAGTCCTTGGGGAAAAGACTCTTGGTCTTCTGCAGTCAAGGAGCTAAGCCTGAGCTTGCCAGCTAACAGTGGGATCATTGTGGCCATGCGGAGATTTCATTATCACATAGGCACACAGGCAGGCCAGCAAGCAAAGTGAATAGAAAAAGGAAAAGGAAGCCAGGGAAAGAGAAAAGAGGAAAAGGAAGGTAGAAAAGAGGAACAGAGGGAGAAAGAGACCTGTCTAAGAAGACGAGGCTGGGCTCTCCCAGCGCTTCCCTGGAGCGTGGGTAGGAAGCACCACTTAGACCAAATCCACACAAGCCAAAGGCTGCCAACACCACTTCTCAATCACCACCTTTCAAGCACGAATAATCCTGAAGGTCAGGAGTATTTTTCAAATCTCAAAAATTAAAAAAAAAAAAAAATCAAAGAAGTCATTTTTTCTTGTCATTGCCCAAGCTGCTGCTTTCTTGCATTTATTTACTGAATGCCACGTGCAATGCCACAGGGCTAAAAATGTATGTCAAGCCCCAACTGAAAACTCAAGTGGAGAGAGTGAGGCAAAGAGAGAAAAAGAGAGAACACAAAGTTGTTGGGAGTAGTGGCTGCCACCTGCTCCCCGTGGACATTTGCGAATGCTGGTGAATAACTGGACCCTCCAGGAATAGTGCCCTGATTCCAGCCCCAAAATGTACCCAAGTAGAGAACACGCAGAGCCCACTGTCCCAGGAGAGCTTCCCTCCCCAAAGGGTGACAGAACACGACTAGACTGTATGTGAAGGCAATGGACAGGGCAGATGGAGTGTTGGCATCACTCTCTTTAGGCACTTGTGTAAGGAATGTAGGCTCTCCAGTGAGCTGCCTCCCCCCAGAGCCCTCCATTCTGTTCTTCAGCTGGGCTTGTGCCCACAGGGCACCCCATGCTGTAGCCAGCAGGAAAATAGTAAAGGAGGAGTTACTCAACAGTTCTGATGCTTTCTCCATAATGAATGTTTGTGCTATGGTTTGTGAAGTTACTAAACAACATAGCCTACCAGAACAGAACCTGGGATAGATTGTTTTGCATAGCAAATCTGGGTGATACAAGGGCTGCTAGGGAGAGGAAAGGGTAGCTCTAATTCCATAGGCCAGGATTCAGACCCTCCTTCCTCTGGCTGGCCTCCAAGCCTGGGCTAGGTCTAAGTATCATGGCTTCATCACCAGATTGGGGCAAACCCAAGCCAAAGTTCCTCAAAAAGAGGAAATTCCACACTGAAGTTGCAACTCCCCAGCCCAAGCAGTTGAGTGGGAAAAAAATGAACAGTCAAGGAAATAGGGGGCCATGCCTCAAGGCCAGCAGGGACCAAGCTAAAACCACCTCTTCCAGTCCTGCAAGACAGCCAAACCCCGTATCAAGACAAAAAAAAAAAACAAAAACAAAAACAAAAACCCATGCCACCCACTCACATGCCCTAGTGGGAAACCAGGAAAAATTCATTTGTGTAAACAGAAGCAATAGGGAGCAGCAAAATTCCTCAGCCTGTCCACAGGACACACTGCAATCTAGGATAAGCCAAAGGGTCAGACGACAGTCCAGAGTAAAGGAAGATGCACTTGCAAGAAAGAGTGCAGGACAGTACAGAGGAGAGAGGCTGTAGCAAGAAAAAGGTTATTATCTGCACAGAGGAAGGATGAAGTCTGAGCCCCACTTTGGGGAGATAACCACCCGCTACCTAGCCAGGCCAGAGAACAAGTCAGGTACACCGTTCCTTCTGATGGCTCAGTGTTTCTGGGATATAAACTCATTCAGCATGGAGGGATTTCCAAATTTTGGCAATAGACTCAAGTTATGATATAAAAATAACATTTTGTTTTCTCTCTTTTTTCTTATTTTAGACCTAAGGATCTTTTGTTATAAGACACCCCAGTTAAGAAATATTGAAACATAAGAGACTTGACCATCAGGGGAAAAAAGAAGAATGAGAAATGTTATGAAAGTAACTCCAGATCCAGGCAGGGTGGGAGGTAGGGGGAACAGGAAGAAAAGGAGGCATAACTGGAAAGGCCAGGGGCCAGTCATCTCAGGAAGCAGCTCTGAGACTTGTCATGTCTGAAAGTGCAAATGTCAATGGATTTTAACCATCTCGAGGTTATGATCTTTTAAAAAGCTCAGTGAATGTGGAAGTCAATTCCTTCAAATGCAAAATATCTGGCATTCTGGCTGGATGCTTGTTGAGTTTCGGGTATTTCTTCCCCACCTATCTCCTCTCCCACCCCCACCCCATCCCCCAAAGAAAGGTACAAAAGGTTGCAGTTCTGCAGCATTACCATTACAGGGAAGGCACTGGTTACCCACCAGCAGGCGGAAGGAAGACAGGGTCGTGTCACTTCAAAGCTAAGTGCCATAGTGCCTTAAGTATTACTAGGGGCCGGATGTCTGTCAGGGAAGAGGTGTAAGGTGGGGTAGAAAATGTGGAGAGAGAGGAATGAGGGCAAGGGGTCGGTGGCAGCTGGGGGAGGAGCAACCAAAACCATTAAAAATCTTCCTACAAACTGGATTCTGAACCCATTAAAACATCTAGTATCCTAAAATATTGATCTGGGTCTGGTTTCATTTTTCTTCTTAAACAAATCTAGACCTTTTCTGATTAAGGCTCCTAAAAAATCCTTCCCTCCTCCCACCCACTTTCTCAAGCCCCTCACTTTCCCATCTAAAGTATCAAACCCAAACCTACCAGCTTTTGTCCGCAGGGCTGCAGAGCTGACCTTACCAAGCTGTCAAGCATGAGTCTTTAGCACTGTGAGTCACATGAGACACCTGTGTGTATGGTGGGCCCCCCTCTTGGTCCAGTGGGGTCAGGGCCAGATGTGACAAGATGGGGTGAGGAGTGGGGGACATGAGGTTGATATCAGAGATTTCTGGCTGGTGGTCTGTCTTGCTGGCCCTGTTCCCCACTCTTACACCACCTCTATAGAAGGAAACAAGGCCTCCTGCACTCCTCCCTACCCCACCTCCCTCCTCCTTGCTTCCTCTGGATTTGGGTGGCACAGCTCTTGGGGCTTGGAAAGCTTTCTTCTATCCAGTGAGGTAACAGCGTTCTGCCTTCAAGCGAAGTACATGGTGCGCAGAGTATCCTGGTGAACCTGCACGGCTTTGGCGAGGGCCTGGGGGTCCCGCCCATTGCTCTGCCCCGATATGTGGCTCCCCTCTCCACTGAAAAGGAAAAAAATGAAAGAAATCCTTCCTGGTGAACTGAACTGCTGCCAATTACCTCACTCATCCCTGGGGTGCCAATTCCCTTACCAACTTAAGAGAAAACCCATCCCAGGTTTGGGCAGATAAGCTGAGGGCAAACTGGAGAGCACCCTTTTTCTTCTACCCAAGGAAACTTGAGAGCATCTAGTACAACAGACTGAAGCAAAAAGGAAACCAGCCTGATCCCAGGCCTCACCTGTCATGCTCCTTGTCCACCAGGTGGTATCGTGCCCGGAAAGCCACCAAGCGGGCATAGTAGGCAGGTGCTGGGATAGAGACGGAGCGTGTGCATCGTACGTAAGTGTGGCACAGCTGGTATGTCAAGATCTGGAGCTCATCTGCTGTGAAACGGTTGTCATCCCAAAGGACATAGTAATGGGATGGTCGGCTGGTTCCCTGGGAAGACAGGAAGGTGAGGGAACCCAGGTTGGGCAGAGGCGATGGCTGATAAGGAACAGGATCACTGTTAAGAATATGGCTGGGTGGATGACCCACCCATGTCGAAAAGCCACCAGTGTCATAAAGCACCCTTCTTATAGGCAACCTGAAAGCACATTCAGGGCTTAGTAAGAGTGATTCTGATTTGAACACTACTCAGTGATACTGATACATTCTAGAAGCAATGGGAATAAGCAACTAATCTTTGACCCATTGGAAACCCCAGGACATAGCCCAGCTACCTGGATGCCTGCGTGGCTGCACAGATAGAAGTCAAACTCAAATGGGTGGGTGATGTTGGTGTCCACAGTGGTCCCAGCTGGGATGTTACCACTCTTCCCAATCTGTATAGAGACAAACACAACCAAGATCCCAAGACCTGCCTGGCCCTAACCAGGGCCCTGGCTCAATTCTACTCTGACTTCACCAGAATTCCAAGAACAAAGTAGAAGTTGCTATTCCCAGAGGGTACCAGGTATTAATATAATAGACTTCTAAAGTCACACAGACCTGTGTTCAAGTCCTGGTTTTGCCATTTATTAGCTGTGTGATCTTAGCAAGTCATTTAACCTTTCTGAGGTTAAACTGGAGATAACAGTACCTACCTCACAGGGTTGCTGTGAGGAAGACGCCTTGTACAGTGTCTGGCACATAGGAGAAGTTCAATAAATGGTAGTTCCCTTCCCCTTCTCTGGGAGCTGGTCTATATATGGGGTCTAGGCCAGGGAGCTAGGAGGAGGGAGAGGAAGTATAAGGGAATGAGGGGAGGAGGGGGGAACTATAGGAAGGAGGGGCTAGAGGAAGGATCATAAGAGCTAGCGGGAAGGAAGGGGCAAGCAAGGATGGACAGGACGAGGACTAAGTCCCCAGACTTTATCTCAAGGGCTTCTTCCCTATCAAGACAATGGAGACAGGATGAGGGTATGGCTGGTCTCCTCAATCCCTCACTCACTCGCTCATTCTTGTCAGCACAAAAAAGGCGGGTGTGATGGCGTTTCTGCACCACAATGTAAGTGATCCCAGGCTGGTAGTCCTTTTCCAGTTTGATGCAGGCATCACGAATGGCCAGCAGCTCATAGTGGAGGATCTAGATACAGGATGAGGAAAGAGAGAAAGAGATATACAATTTCTTTTGAGTTCACATGCCCTTCTGAACTAAGGGGTTGCCACTTGTAATATGGCTATTTGCTCAGCCTCTCTTTCTAAGCTGATGCCCAATAATTACAGATGATAGTCCCATCCTGCCAAAATCAGCCTTATACTCAGTTCACTGGGTATGTTCTTATAAAACCTTGGCCGGGAGGCTTGGCATCAGAAGAGAGCACTCACCTGGTTCCTATGCATAAAGAGACCTAAAATCAAGACACAGAATCTAGGTCCACAGAGAAATCACTAAAATTACAATGACCAAAGTTAGGTCGATCAAGGAGATAATGGGAGTTCCCCTGTGGGCTCCAAGAGCAGACAGGGTTTGGATGACCAGAGAAGAGCAGACATAGTTTCGGAATGGGGGCAGAGGGAGTAGATGAATTCAGTCCTACAAAGAAGCAGGATTATAAGAAAATGGGCTAGCTAAAGAAGAAGCCACAGGTAAATAATCATAGGCAATAGTTGCCTACAGCCATAGATGTCAGATATAGGGAGTAAAACTGTATGGTAGAAAAGGATAGAATTTGGAATCAAATAGAACTAGGTTTAAACCCAAGCTTTATCTGGTTGTATTACCTTGAGTAACTTATTCAATACCTCTAAATCTCATTTTCTCCACATCTGTTAATGTTACTAAGATCTGCCTCACAAAGCTGTTGTGAAGACTAAGATAATTAAGTAAAAGCATAGAAAATCTAGTAACTTAATAACTACTGATTGCTTTGCTAAGCAGTCTGAATTTTAATCCAAAGCTATGTGAAGCCACTAGACATTTGACAATAGAAAGTGATATGATAAATTTGTCTGGTATTTTAGGAAATACTGGATGACTTAGAGGTAACTGAGCATAATGGTTAAGAGCAGGGACTTTGGAGGCAGACCAGTGTGTCTGAATCCCAGTTCTATCCCTCATTAGTTTGGGTGACAACAAAGAATCATTTAACATTTCTAAGCCTCAGTTTTCTCATCTGTCAAATGGAATAATAAAATTATTATCTCATAGGGCTACCATAAAGTATTAAATAGAACATAAATGAAGTGGTCAGCACAGCTCATGACACATAAGAAGTACACAATAAACAATAGTTATAATGCTATTAAATGGTAGTCAAAGAGACCAGTTCAGTATAGAAGTCTAAACAATAGATTATGGAGGCTTGGCAATGAGAATGAATAGGAGGATCACTGTGAAGGAAGGTAAACAGCAGTGGTTCTCAAAGTGTGGTCTCCAGACTAGCAGCACTGCTGAGGAAACTTGTCAGTATTGCAAATTCTAGGCCCACATCCTAGACTCACTGAATCAGAAACCCTGAGGGCAGAGCCCTGCAAATTGTTTTAACAAGTCCTCCAGGTGATCTTGATATATGCTAACTTTGGAGAACCACTGGTCTAAATAATCAGTCTTCAACATGAACCAACTAGTAAATAGGGACTGAGGGCCTCTGTTACAAGAAGAAAGGTCTATAGATGCTCATACCCTCCACCCCTCAGTTGTAATCCCCACTCCCAAGCCTATCCCATTTACCAAAACTCCCTAAAAAGTAGCACACCTCAAGGAAGAGGGAAAGGGCCATGGCCAGGCTGTGTGAAGGGTGCCCACTCCTCCTCCTCTGGCCTCCTGCCCCAAGAAGCTTCCAGAGGCTGCATGTGTGGCCAAGCCCAGGCTCCTCCTCTCCCCACCCCCTGTCCCAGAGCTGACACCGGCTGCCTTGTTCTCCATTTTCCAAGATGGCGCTCGACCCTACAGAGCAACATCTTAGACATGTTGAAAAAGATGTTTTGATACCTAAAATAATGAGAGAAAAGGCCAGAGAGAGGTGTTCTGAACAAGTTCAAGATTTTACCAAATGTTGCAAGAACTCTGGACTCCTTATGGTAGTAAAATGCCGAAAAGAAAATTCTGCATTGAAAGAATGTCTAACTGCTTACTATAATGATCCAGCTTTTTATAAACAATGCAAAATAGAACACCCAAAGGAAAGGGAAGAATTCAGAAAAACTGGACTTCCTACCAAGAAAACGCTACAGAAGCTTCCTACAAGCATGTAGGCAAATGTTCTAGTGATACTCAAGAACTCTAATATTCATGGAAGTCACTTATAGTATAAATCAACTGAAATAAATAAATCAATCAGCACTCAAAAAAAAAAAAAAAGAAGTAGCACACTTCCCACTGCCAATAGCTAAGAAAGGGTAGCAGCACCTAGCCCTCTGTCCTTAGTGTAAAGGTTTTCTGGGCCCTACCTGGGGGAGCTGGCCTTCAGGGACCCCATCTCGGTAGAAGATGATGCGGGTAGGCTTGAAGCGGGTGGACTTGTAGAATTGAATGAGCAGCTCACGCACCATGTAGGACAAGTCTTCAATGATCTCTTGCCGTGGTCGTTGTACCCGCACAGTAGCACAGTATCGGCTGGGGTGGGCATCCATACTGCCTACCACCTGACAGTCAAAGAGAAAGGATCAGCCCCTAGAATTTTTCTTCACCCTCCCTCTAATGTCAGGCTGTGGGTTTGGGGAAAAGCTTCTTAGAAAACTGTGCAATCAAATGAGCAGAGCTTGGGATTAAATGAGCCCTGGTTTCAATCTCTGTTGTATCACACATGTAGAAGTTACTTAATCCATCTGATCTTCTCTTTTCTCTTCTCAGATGGAGGTAAGAATATCTCCTTGCAGTGCTATAGTGACACATATAAAGCACCTTGCACAGGGCCTATCTCACAGTAGGTACTTGATAAATTTGATTCCCCTACCCTTTGCAGAGGGGCATGTGAAGGTCTAGCATTACTAGATCAAACAATGACCTCATTCAGCCCTAAGTTTACCCTTTTTTCCATTCAAGTGCTAATCTACCCAGGAACCATATTCATGGCGACAGTGTTCTTTTGACTGATGGAAGTAACACCATTTTCAGAGGGGACAGTGGCCAAAGCATAGGCAGGACGGCCACAAGAAAAACAGGGACAAGCATATTATAGGGTTTCCACTGCAGTAAGACCAGTCTGCCTACAGAAATGTGAGTGTTGAGAAAATACAAGTGGGAAGGAAAGGAAGGCCTGATCCCTAGCATTTTGGAAGCCCCAGGGGACAGGGAGTAGAAAAGTCAGCAGAGAGACTAGAGAAACATCTAATCTACTAGATGGATCAGGGGTAGGGGTAGGGCAGAGAAAAGGACAGTCTCAGCAACTAAATAACTCCCTTAAAAAGGATTTCAGAGAAGAGCTACATAGTCACTCCCCTGCATCCCAAAAGCAGGAATGGAGAGTGAGAAATTCAAATGCAGAGCAAGAGTGATGGAGACTGAGCCAAGTCTCTGGCTATATTCTCACTACTCTCCCTGAAAGCTTCATACAGAGCTTCATATAGAGCTACCTTTATGAAGATTCTAAGGGAATGGGCAATGGGATGGTGAGCTAAATGGAGAAGATCTTATGAAGGAAGGGTCAAGAGTCAGAGCTGAGGGAAGGAAATCATGTGTAGTCTTGGGGACTCAGAGTTTAGAGGAGAACCTTATGGGATAGCTGGAGAGCATCACTCACTGCTGTGATAGAAGGTTTTTTCCCATCCCCTGCTGGGGGGTGTGTAACATCTGCTCCCAAGAATATCACTGGCTGTTGAAAGACGGCAGAGCTAAGCAAGGAAGAGAAAACAAAATCATGAGGAGTTGGGTTTTTTCTGGCTGGCACCATCCAATGCCCATTCTGATCTTCTCCCCCTTGTGTCTGATTCACTCTGCTTGGCTAGGGTCCTGTCTCTTCATCAATTCCCAGCATGATACCTTAACAAGGGCAAGTACAACAGAGTTCATACCGCTGGTGTGGGACTAGGATGTTGTTAATGCCACCAAGTTTGACATTGATCTTGAGACAGAGGTTGGACAGAGTCTGAGGCGAGGTCTTGACCACGTTCTTCACCTGCACACACTGTGTAGCCATTCCCAAGAGCGTGTCTCCAACACGTTTCACCTCAGCTATGGGCAGGGAGAGAACTGATTAGTACATTCGACAAATATTTACTGAATTGCTACTAGATGCCAGGTAGTATATGAGGTGCTAAGGAATACAATGCTGACAGGAAATATATAATGTCCCTACTCTTACAGTGCTTACTACCTAGTGACTAATTTTAAAAACTATGAAAATTACAATACTGATAAATGCTACAACAGAAAACCTCATGGAGCAATGAAAGCAAACCTCGTGGAGCAATGAAAGCACATTAGTAGGGAGTAAAAACTTAGGAAGGGATTCTTAAAAAACGACGGAACTGAATTCTGAAGGCAGCAAAGGACTTAGAGAAGAGGGGGAGTTTGGAAGAAAGCATTCCGGACAGAGGGAAGAGCATACAAAAATGTACTATGCTAGAAGATAGCAAGATATGTTTGAGAAATTGAAAGGTCATAGTAGCTAAAACAAAGAGCAAGGGGACCATGTTTTGAGAGAAAGAATGTGGTCATTAGGCCAATCTATGGAAGAGCTGAGGGTAGCTTAGATTAAGAAAGCAGTTGAGTTGTTGAGATGGAGAGAAACACATGAACTCAAGAGATATTTAAGGGACTCACTTATAGACTAGAGACATAAGTAAGGGAAATGAATTTCTATGTATAACTTTTAAATTTCTAGCTTCTGTAATAGGAGTAAATAGATCATAAGGTGTTTTTTTTTTGAGACATTTTGAGTTTGAAGGGTTTTTTGTCATCCCAGTGAGGATCTCAACAGGCAAATGAGTATAGTGGCTGGATGCTCAAAAGAGGAGTCTGAAATGGAGATGCAAATTTGTGCAATATTTAGGTATAGGGAGCAATTGAAAACATGATCTTGATGAGATCACCAAGGAAGATAACACAGTGAAAAGAGAAGAGAGATTAGATCTGAATCTTGAGGAACTCCCACTATTTGCAGAACAGAAAGATGATGAGTCTGCAAAGGAGAAAAATCCAGAGAGCTAGAATGAAGACCAAAACAATTGTATCATGAATGCCATGGGAAAAAAGAGTATCAAGAAGGAGCAAGCAGTCAACAAAGCCAAACGCAGCTAAGAGATCAGGTAAACTGAGAACCAGAAATGTCCTCTGGAATTAGTGCTAATGAGGCAACAAAAAAATTTAGTGTATAGAGGCAAAAACTATTTTGGTGATACAAAGTACCAAGCAGGAAATTTATGATCGATGAAGAATTTGCTATGTTTTCAATGGAAGAGACTTGAGCATGTTTTAAGAAGTTCACTTCCACTTCCAAGAGAAATGGAATAGTTAGTGGCAAGCCAGTTCTGCAGAGAACATTCAGAAAAGCCAGATAAAATACAGAAATCATGTTTTTGAAGGCAGCAGAGAGGTGCTGAGGCAACAAGAACTGGAGGGATTAAAATTCCAGACAGGGAGAAAATCCCACAGAGATGAGCTATCTTCTGCAGCTGCTTTTAACCTGTGTATATTTGCTGATTCTAGGTATGGGCAGGAGGCTGAGATTCCAAGCTCTGGGACCACTACCAGGGGACAGGAAAGCAACAGAGTTTTTGCTCTGTTTAGAGACAGATTAGTTCTAAATATGAAAAGTTAAAAAAAAATTCATATAAAAGAAAACTTTAAATAGTACCTTCATGACCCTGGGATTTCTTAAACAGGACACAGAACTACTAGCCAAAATATTGATAAACTGAACTACATTAAAATTTAAAAGTTCTATTGAACAAAAGACACCATTAAGAAAGTAAAAAGGCAAGTCACAGTGCAGAGAAGATATGTGTAATATACACACATATATTCAACAAAGAAACTGGAAAGAACACCTATAAATCAATGAAGAAAAGGCAGTAAAGTCAACGAAAAAAGGAAGACTTGAGCAAGCACTTTATAAAAAAAGCTAATGACAGCTTCACCTATTCCATTAAAAAGATACTTAACTTTATTAGTCATCAGAGAAATGAAATTAAAAGCACAATGCAATATCACCAAAACCCCACAAGAATGTCTAAAATGAAAGAGACAATACCAAGTTTGGTAAGGATGTGAAATATCTAGAAGTCTCATACACTGCTGGTGGAAGTATAAATTGGTATACTTACAATCCACTACTAGATATACACCCAACGGAAATGGATACATATGTTCAAAGGTCATGTACAAGAGTAGTCACTGAAGCATTATTTATAAATAGTCAAAAACTAGAAATAATCTAGATATGTGCAATGTGCATTAACAGCAGAATGGATAAATACATGTAAATTGTGTTATACTCATATAATGGAAAAACTATCACAAACTACAACTAGATACGACATTGATGAATCTCACAAACTTAATGTGTGAAAGAAGCCAGATGCACAAAAAGATTATATGGTATGATTCCATTTATATAAAGTTCAAAAACAGGCAAAACTAACCTACGGTGTTAGAAGCCGGAATAGTGGTTACCATTGGTGGGCCGGAATAGTGGTTACCATTGGTGGGAGGCTGTGGTGACTGGTAGCCTGGGGTTGTGGTAATGTTCCACTACCTGAACTGGGTGCTGATTACACAGCTGACACTTGGTGAAAATTCACCGAGCTGAACATGTAAAATTTCTCTACGAATAATTCAATAAAAAGTTTACATTAAAAAAAGCCAATAGTATCAACATAGTGGAGAGGTAGGAGTTAAATATACTAAAGACAGGATAGGTATAGTACCTGATAACAACTGGGCAGATGTGACACTGTCCTTCTACACTCTCAGGACCACCAGATGCCAATGGGACTTTGACCATCAGAGGGAAAATGCCATTTCACCCAGCCTCCCAGGAGGGAGGGTGAAGGGTCTTTAGAAGAATCTGACTGCTTCTCTTATCTGCTGGCTTAATTCCCACACAGATGACCCCACTGACCAGGTAGTATAACCAAGGAAAGCATGTAAATGGAAGAAACCCAAGGCCTCAATAAACGTATGAAGCTAGAGACAAGAGTAACATTACTGAGCCCAGGGAAGGGGAAATTCTGAGTAAGTACTGCCTCCCCCAAGCATGCTGTACTATACTCCCAAGGTAAGCCAAAACACTGAATTCTTTCTTTCATAGAGGGAATCAGAAACATGGATACTTCCTTAAGGCAGTTCTAAAAAGCTTCCTTATCATCCATACTAGGACCCAAGAAAGATATGGATTGAAGAGCAACCAACTTCCCTCAATAAGTATTAATAATTACTGAGTATCTTATCAGTGGGAGTTACTACCTTAAGTGTATATGTGTGCAGAGGGAAGAAGTTTTCAGAGCAGAATCAGATCTAATCCATGCTTAAAATATGATGCAGGATAGTAATTGATCAACGGCCTGATAAATTGGAGGAATTCAGACTGAGACAAGTTTCACGCTCCAGGGGGGGATGTCACGAATACAGAATAAGTAGCATTTAATTGGGGCCTTAAATGATGGAGACAATTTTAAGGGCAACATGGGGACAAGAAGAAGGGTATTCAGATATCCCAGGCAAAGGCAAATGACATGAGCAAAACCAGAGATTGGAAAGTATAGATAAGAAATGAGCACTTAGAGTGTCACCTATATGCAAGGCACTGTGCCAGATGCTGCGTTTTATGTAATTAATTCATGAGGCTTGGAAAGCTTAGGTATTACATAATTTGCCCAAGACAGAAGACTAGGATAGCCAGGCTTAACTCCAGCTCTGTTTAATTCTAGAACCAGTGATCTTTCCAGGATATGTGGCAAGTGAACACTGCAAGATAAAGCTGAAAAGTTTAAATTAAGATCAGGGCCATGAAAACCCTTTAGGTAGTAATGAATGGGAACCAATGAAGGGTTTTTCTGTTGTGTGTTTGTTAAGAGATGGGGTCTCACTCTGTTGCCCAGGCTAAAGTGAAGTGGCACAACCAAAGCTCACTGCAGCCTCAATCTCCTGGACTCAAGCGATCCTTCTGCCTCAGCCTCCCAAGTAATTAGGACTACACGCACATGCTACCATGCTAGGCTAATTTTTTTTATTTTTTGTATAGACAAGGTCTTGCTATATTGCCCAGGCTGGTCTTGAACTCGTAGACTCAAGCGATCCTCCTGCCTTAGCCTCCCAAAGTGCTGGGATTACAGATGTGAACCACCATGTCCAGTCGACTTTTTTGGTAGTACAGTCACAGAAAGTCTTACCTGATGATCTATTCAAGAAAGCCTTGAGAAGGAAGGTTAGAACTAAGCTGAGAAGTGTGGGTAGAGAGCAGGGATTATATCTTGAGAAAGATTGTGAAAAAGAACACTGGAGGTAAAGCAAAGAGAAGACAGACTGCCTCCAAAGTTTGAATGAAGGTACTCAGAAGTAACTGTGTTGCCAAACACAGAAAAGAGAAGCAAAGAGAAGGGTTTATAGAGCAGACAAGCCACTGAAGAGGTGGTCCAACAAAACACTTTCTAAGGGCACAGACTGTTATATTCACCAATGTATCTAAGATCTTGCACAGTGTTTCACACATGATAGATGATTAATAAATTCTTGCAGAAGAAAGGGAGAGAGGCCAAAGGTACAGACAGGAGCTACAGAGGGTTCAAGGGTTAGATCAAGACTTCAATAATATAACATATAATAATAGGTGATGACTGAAGCAACCAAAATGAATAAGAATTTCAAGAGAATGTAAAAACAGAGAGGACAGAGGACAGAAACCTGGCAAATACTAGCCATTCCTGGTAATGACAAAAATTAGTAAGGAGAGACAGGAGAAAATATGCAGAAGTCAAGGGAAGGGGACAACTGAGAAAGGTCATTGGCAGCCCTTTGCAGAGGAGGTTTAGGAGAAAGGTAGATAGGAGGCAAGATAGATGAAAGATGCTACGGAGGATGTGGCTGGTGAGAAAGTGGGCACAGAGAGTGTAGAGAACTCATTCAAAAGGTTTGATGAAAACAGGATGACAAAAGCTAAAGGAGATGGCAAGATTGTGGTAATGTGCACTAGGATAGGGAATCTGAAGATGTTTCAGAGTTGAAAGGTATGAAGTCCCAAAGGTAACAGAATAGGTTGGAAATGAGAGCACAGAGGAGTTGAGCAAACTAAGAGGAACACCTCTTCGTTTGAAGCAGGAGAGGTAGAGAGGGAAAACAGAGTATGAGAGAAGTGCTGAGCCACAGACTTATATAGTCTCTCCTATTCTAAAAAGAAAAGAAAAGAGGAGAAAAAGCCTCTCAAAAAGTCCAAAGCATTATCAAACAACCACCACACATTCTGGTTGAGTGTGCTGCACAGTATCCTGATGAATAACTCACCCCTAAAGATAGCAATCTGGACTGACCCATCTCTATATCTGGCCCAGCTAAGCCTGGCATAAAAATGAGCACTCAGAGGACTCCAGTAAATATTACTGGGAGATAAGGTGAGCATCTAATTAGGATCTAGGATGACTGAATGGCTCATATAGGCTGCTCTTTCTCCTATAACAGGAGCACTGACATTAAGGAACAGCTCTAGCTAGAGCCAAGAATTTACATCAAGTCTTCCCTTGGAGTCCCCAGGGAGCTACCCTGAGAAGAATCCCACCATTGTTATCACTGTCCCAAGAAAACTGTACCATACACTGGTGTCTTCCCGGGCAGGATGACGATAATGAGCTGCAGCCCTGAGTAGGTGTTCTTGAGATGCCGGAACATGGGCTCCACGCTGTCTGCCCCCTGCGCATATTTGCAGAAACAAGGCTGACCCTGGATGGGCATCCCTGCATCCTTGGAAATCTTCCGCAGCTGGTCTGTGAAGTTCCTGTAGCACAAGCATGGTCATGACAGAAAGCAGTAAGTCCCACTTTAATCCTCTGGCCAAATGCCTCCATCTTAGGTGCTCAGCACAATCACAGCTAGCGCAAAATGTACATTTATAGTTGAGTGTGAGAAGACAGCTTGCCAAGTGTTCAATGACAGGAGCAAAGAGATGAGGGAGCCCGTAAAAGGGACCTATGGGAATTCTCAGGGTTCCCACCTTGCCCCATTCAAGCAGCTGATTCCTGTACTCCATTATATGTCCAAAGAAACAGGCAGATGACCAAGAATAAGGCCTTTTTGCTCAAAATAAATGAGGTTCCAATAGTCATGGGAGCACAGGAGATGCTCAGTAAAAATGAGCTCCCTCCTCTCCAACTGGTTCTTTGAAGCCTAACAGCCAGTAAAATAAACTTCATTCCTTTGGCTTTAGGGCTTTACCCTGGGAAATGAAGACAAAATTGAAAGAGAAGATACACGTACAGTAGAGTAAAAAAATCAACCTACATAAACATACTGATAGACTAAAATGAGTAGCAGGAAATTTAATGTGAAAATCTTGCACTGAAATTATAAGCAATAATGTACAGAGAATGAAAGCAATTGCTTAGGAGATATTATACAGAATATAAATAGCAATGATAGTTCAGTTAGAAAATAAGTATTTTTCACATATTTCATAAAAATGCAAAAGAAAAGTAAATATAGTACGATACTGTTACGCAAAATTTAAAATCATTTATATACATATAGGTAAATACAATATAGAAATTAGATAGGAAGGTTACAATAAATTGTGACAGTGGCTGCATTAGAAGGGAAAAATAGAACTAGGGTGGAGGATATAAAAGAACATCATGTTTATCTGTAATATTTTATTTACTTTTTAAAAAAGTATAAATATGACAAAACTTATGATGGATACATGAGTGCCTGAGGTGGTATTCTCTACATTTACTATTTTTAAAAATTTTTTTCAAAATGAATGTTAGACTAAAAAAATACAATCTAACCATTGTTTCATGTAAATAAAAACTAGAGCTTTGATGGACTACTAATGAATGGTATTTCTTCCATTTCTCTGCCTTGTATACAACTGCAGTGTAGCCAGCTACAAAAAAAGCTTATGTGTTACCAGATTTCATTAATAGTGGGTCTCTACTTGAAGAAAAACAGTATTCCCAATCTTCTCTCTACTACCAGACCACACTTAGGATATTGTGCTGGGGCCACAAAGTGTTGAGAGATGTATAGGACGGGGAAGGTCTTGAAATCCTGTCTTAAAGGTGACAGAGCTGAAGTAATGGGGCCTCTTTAGCTACAAGAAAAATTCTGAGGGTTGAACATAGGACTCCCTCACCCATTCCCAACTACTAATTTCTCCAACTCCACAGCAATCTTCATGTTTTCCCCTCTTCTCAGTGGGAAGGATGCCCTTTCCATGCTGTGGATCTCACCCCCTCATAAACACTTAGGGACTTTGCTCTGTTTATTTTCCAGTTTCTCTGAGTTAGTTTACTATGCACATTCTCCCTGGACAATCTCATCTACTGCCATGGCTAAAGAGTCAGAAATCTTTGCCTTTAACCCAGAACCACACATCTAATTGGTTACTACTGACCCAGATGGACAAAACGCATTCTTACCCCATATATCTAAGGGTCACTGGGAGAAGGGGAGGCTTGATAAACTGACCTCTTCCAAGTCTAAGATTCTAAAGTTTATCAGTTCCTATACCCCGAAATGGCCAAAACAATGGACTGTTTCCCAAAAGAACTGGAAAAGGGAAGGACGTGGGAGTAAGAGAGATGCACAGAGAGAATAGAGCTGCCAGTGAAGTGACTATAGCACAAAGGCAAAGAGCTGGGAGCCTTTCCAATATGCTAAGGGCCAGTCCTCCCGCCAAGGCCAGGAGTAGCCTGGTCTAAATGGGGCAAATATCCAAAGAACCCAGGAAAAGGGACAAGAACCACCCATTTAGAAGAAGCTACAGTTATGATGGCAGTGGTGGTTGTGTATCCGTGAGGGGAGAGGGAATAATGACAAAGTGTGGATCCAGAGTCCCCAGATCCACCAGGAACTGCTAGAACTAATTCTTGTGAAGACTTCAAGGCCAGATGAACCCACCAGAGCACACATCTCCATTACCCTCATCACTACTCAAAATAGTCATCTCCATTGATTCTCTTCATCCCCAGAGTACACTGACTCCACTCCAGAGCCAGAGAATGAGAAGCCACCACTTCAAAAGACAGCAGGAACCAAGAAACTGTATGCTTTATGTGGGTGTGTTTTGTGGTATTTTAAACATATCTCAATAAAACTATTAAAAAAAAAAAGACTGCAGAGGAAAGATCATGACTTCTTCACTTACTCATTCACACATTGGAGCCATCAAGGGGTGGGGAATCTGCAGCCTTGGGGCCACATGTGTCCTTGAGGCCATAGGTTCTTCACCCATCTAACCTGTTTTTTAAAATCATTTGGCTTTATCACTTTCCTTATTGCTGTCATCTACTCGAAGCCCCTCAGTCACAGTGGCACAGAGGCCCTTACAACTCTTGTTAACCTAATTCAGGTCACTTGGACCTGACTGAACAAATTCTGTGCATAGGAAAGGACAGAGATCAGCTCAGAGATCAGCTAAACAATCTATTCTATTTTGTTTCCAATTAGGAACCAAGTTTTGAAGCTCAGATCTGAACTGATTCCAACTCTAACACTTTCTTGATGATATGCGAACTTTGGACAAGTTACTTAACCTCTTTGAGCCTCAGTCTCCTAAAAATGGAAATATTACCACCTACTCACTGTAAAGATGAAATGAGAGAACATGAATTAGGTACTTAAGTACAATGTTGGCATAAACATTATAGTCATCACTAGTACTATTTATTACCAATAACAATAAAATAATCCAGGCCTTCTTCAGGTGATTCAGGCCCTAATACCATCATCTCTGATGTAGCCTCTTATCAAATTCTCCTAACCAAAGATGGACAGAAAAGGAATAAGTAGAAGCTTGAAAAAGAAAGCACAATACAGGCAGAGTCAAGACAGAAAGAGCACACTACCAATCAATCTCAGCCCCTGGGGGTGGGGGAGGGCAAGCAGCTCTAGGGTCCTTCCCCACCCTTCCATCCCTACACCCAACCCTCCTTACTTGAGCACCTCTTCTCGACACTGTTTCTGGGGTGCAAAGCAGGCGATGGCCCACACTTTGATCTCAATCCCGTTGTAGAACTGTTTCCCCCGCATGTCCCAGACACCCTGATTGGGTGTAGCAATGGCCCGGTTCTGGAAATAGGCAGAGGGGGCGCCCAGGTGAGCCTCAGTAGAGCCAGGTGGGTAGGGGAGCAAAAGCCCCTGGCTATACAACCCGACCACCCACATATGCCCCAGAGATGTTGTCTGGCCCTGACCCTGCTCACCCGGCCGCCGTACTGCAAGATGGGCGCCGGCAGCACTCGCCCCGTCACCTCCGTCATGTCGTCTTTCACTTTGATCCCAAATTCTTGGATGTAGGGATCTAAGTTGTAGCTGGCATTCTTCATCTGCAGGGCAAAAGAGGGGGATCTCAGGAGAGGAGCAGCTTGGCAATACTCCTCACCCTCTGGGTCCCAAGGAGACAGCCCTGAAGAGAAGCTAGAGCTAGCAAGGAATAGCTCTAAAAAGGGGGACCAGGGAGAGTGGAAGATGAGGGAAGTGGAAGTGGATAACACAGGAAAGTAATGCAGGAGAGAAATAGAGATAGAAGCAAAGTAGATACAAGGTCAAGAAACAAGAGCAGCCCTGTGGAGTTCCAGAGAACAAATCCAGACTTGGGTTCTCCTGAAGGAAGGTCCTGCTGGGACATTAAAACACCTATACTACCAAGGGCCCCAATGACTGAGCAAACATTTCTCTGCAGCCCCACTGACCAGGCGACTGATCTCCTCCTGTCTGTCTGGGGCCGACCTAGCTGTGGCCTTTATCATGGTCGAAGTCTGGTTGTCAGTCAGCTTCTTAATGCAGCGCTGCCCAGCCACAATGTTACAGACCTGAGGAAACGAGAAGGACAGGTAGCTCTGGCTTGAGTATAGTCCACCCTGTACCCAGAGCCCCACAGTGAGAAGAGACCTTAGCTATCAGCCATGGAGAAGGGGACTGCAAAAAAACCTTACACATGCATATATTCTCCTCTTGAATTTTACTTGATAGTTAGAAAATATTCATGTGCAATATAAAAGGCAACAGAGCCACTTTGTGATTAAGAGCTTGGGATCCAGAGCCAGATCTAGGCTCAGGTCTCATATATTAAATGAGAGAACAGTAACAATATCATAGGGTTGTCTGAACAGTAAATAAAATAAAGCACTGAAAGGACTGAGTATAGTTCTGGGACATAGTAAACATTCAGTAAGTTGTAGCACAGATTATTATTTATCAAAGGACCAAGTATTGAGCCCTCCTGAATACCAAAAAATCCAATATAAACAAATTAGATTCCTAAAGCAGCTGTCCAATGGTGGCAGACAGTTGCTCCATCCTGCAACCCACCAGGAGGACTATGGATGGCTCTAAACCCTTTAGCCCCAGCCAGCAGATGATCATTGAGCCCCCAGACTATAGAAATCAACATCTCTGATGGCTGACCATATCCTCTGTTGAGGTGAGTAACATCCTGCCATTCAGTTCATCTCTTCAGGGCCCAGCAGAACACAATGGAGATCAAAAAAGGCTGTCTACTGATACATAAGACTTCCATTCCCCAATATACTATATTCAGGATGCCATTAATAGGAAGGCTTGTAGTAGAATTGAGAGAGCCAGTAAGTTTTGGAAGACTTGTCTTTTAAGTCCAGCTTTGCCATTTCTAGGTGATGTTGAGCAGGTCTCTTAACTATTCTAGACTCTGCTTCTTTAGTCTCAGACATGGGAAAAAACCCAGTAGCTGTCTCACAAGGTTGTGAGGATTTAAAAGAGATGAAATATATAACTTGCTTGCATAGGGTCAACATTCTTCAAGTACTGGTTCATGCTAAATAATGGGAAGGATAACCAGGCCAAGGTCACCTGCCTTCAAATTCCATATTTCAAAGAATCATAAAATAGTCCATTCACTTAATGAAAATCCAGAATTGTCAAAATTTGTGACGTTGCTCTCTTAAAGGTGCCTTACAAGTTGTAGCACTCTATACAGATGGTTACAGATACAGAATTAACACTAGCAAAAGACTAAAGTGTGGAGGTGGTGAAATTAGAACCCTTGTGCATTGCTGGTGGGAATGTAAAACGGTGCAGCTACTGTGGAAAATGGTATGGAGATTCCTCAAAAAATTAAACATAGAATTCCCATATGAACCAGCAATTCTATTTCCAGGTATGCACTCAAAAGAAGTGAAAGCAGAGACTTGAACAGATATTTGTACTTCTTGCTCATTACAGCATTATTCACAAAGCCAAATGCAACCCAAGTATCCATAAGTGGATGAGTGTATAAACAATTCACAATTGTAGTACATATATACAATGGAATACCATTCAGCCTTAAAAAGGAAGGGAATTCTAATATGCTACAACATGGATCAACCTTGAAGACATCATGGTAAGTGGAAGAAGCCAGTCAAAAAAGGACAATTATTATATGATTCCACTTATTTGTACCTAAAGTAGTGAAATTCTTAGAGATAGAAAGTAGAATGGTGGTTGCCAGGGGTTCAGGAGAGGGGAAATGGGGAGTTGTTATTTAATGGGTATAGAGTTTCAGTTGGGATGATGAAAAAGTTCTGGAGATGAATGATGGTGATGGTTGCACAACAGTGTAAATGTATTTAATGCCACAGAACTATACACTTAAAAATGGTTAAAATGGTAAATTTTATGTTATGTACATTTTATCATAATTTGAAAAAGAAAAGACTAAAGGAGGAATGAACTGTGATTTGAATATGAACAAAAGATTTTGCTGACACTCTCATTGGCCTGGATAACTATTCAAGGAAGAAAAAGACCTGGATTGGAGGCACTGGTTATCTCTAGTTTCTAGATGGGGACATTCAAATAATCTATACTGTTCTTCTACTTAAAACCTTTCAATGCCTAGCTCTCTGGGAGGCCGAGGCAGGTGGATTGTTTGAGCTCAGGAGTTCAAAACCAACCTGAGCAAGAGCGAGACCCCGTCTCTACTAAAATTAGAAAGAAATTAATGGGACAACTAAAAATATATAGAAAAAATTAGCCGGGCATGGTGGCGCATGCCTGTAGTCCCAGCTACTCGGGAGGCTGAAGCAGGAGGATCGCTTGAGCCCAGGAGTTTGAGGTTGCTGTGAGCTAGCATGACGCCACGGCACTCTAGCCCGGGCAACACAGTGAGACTCTATCTCAAAAAAAAAAAAAAAAAACAAAAAAAACAAAACAACCTTTCAATGGATTCCTATTATAATTAGAATAAAATCCCACCTGGCCAGAAATTAGAACACTCATTCATTGCTGATGAGATAGTACAATGGCATAGTCACTTTGGGAAACAATCCGGCAGCTCCTCGAGATGTTAAACATAGGGTTATATATGATTTCACTCTTAGGTATATACCCAAGAGAAATGAAAACATATGTTCACATACAAATGTTTATATTAATGTTCACAGCAGCATTATTCATAATAGCCAAAAAGTGGAAACAGCTCAAATGCTCATCAGCTGATGAATGGATAAACAAAATGTGATATATCCATATAATGGAACAATACAGATGAACCTTGAAAACATTATGCTAAGTGAAAGAGGCCAGTCAAAAAAGCCCCCATATTATATGATTCCATTTATGTGACATGTCCCTTCAGCCTAAATGCCTCAGGTTAGTTTTGAAATCCTAGAAGCTCAAAGGCTTAAGCTTTGGTCTGGACAATCTCACATTTGCTGCTGGAACAAAGAAGGTAGTCTAGGACAGTGCTTCTCCAACGAATGTACATATGAATCCACTTCGGATCCTGTTAAAAGACAGATTCTGACTCAGCAGGTATAGGAAGAGCCCGAGATTCTGCATCATTTTAAATAAGCCCTCAGGTGATGCCTATCCTGTTGGTATGCTTTTTTAGCTTTTTTTTTTTTTTGAGACAGAGTCTCACTCTGTGGCCTGGGGTAGAGTGCCATGGCGTCAGCCTAGCTCACAGCAACCTCAAACTCATGGGCTCAAGCGATCCTCCTGCCTCAGCCTCCCAAATAGCTGGGACTACAGGTGCACACTACCACGCCTGGCTAATTTTTACTATTTTTAGTAGAGATGGGGTCTCGCTCTTGCTCAGGCTGGTCTCTAACTCCTGACCTCAAGCAATCCTCCCTCCTAAGCCTCCCAGAGTGCTAGGATTACAGGTGTGAGCCACCATATCCGGCCTCCTATTGGTGTACTGACCACATTTTTTGAGTAGCACTGGACTAGACAATGAATTAGTCAGAGTAGTTTCTCAATAGATATTCTGGCTAGTATATACCAAATCAAATAGAGCCAGTGATACTGCATTTGTATTCTATGACTTAAATAGCATTACTATTCTTTCTCTAATTGCAGGATTTCAAAGGTCTACTGAAGTATAAAAGTATGACAAATCCTGGGGCTAGAACTTCTTCAAAAGGAACACATTAATCATTGGGGAAATAGAATCTACATTATAGGTAATGTTCATCTCCATTTTCTGTAGAGCAAGGTACACTGTATCTTTAGATCACTTAGTATCCCCAGCTTCAGACAGCACGGAAAGAGAAATTAAGAGAATATGAGTGAGGATATCTAAAATCTCTGTACTGAATGAACTAATTATTTATTAAGTGGTAAATATAGCTTGCACCTCTGCCTGACAGCCCTGAAAGAAAATGAGAGTAGAATAGGGGATAAGAAAAGAACTTAGTAGGTAAGAATGAGACCTTCATTTCAAAGGAAAACTACCTCATACTTTCTCTGAATGTTAATTTTCCAAACTTCAAAATGAGGATGACAGACTGTGAAATAACAGACCTCTGATGATCAACATGCAGGTACACACAACAATGCCTGTTCCCCAGCCCTGCCATTACTTGGCAGTCTCACCTCTAAGGGAAGGTAGGTATGCTTTTGTTCCTGGCCAACTTGCAGGCATGGCAGGTGGGGATACTTGAGCTGAAGATTATATTTCTGTTTGAAATATTGTGCCACTGTGCACTCCACAGTCTGTCCACTCTCCAGCTGCAAGGGAAATCTGTTTGGAGGAAGTGAAGGAGGTGTCATAACCCAGCATTCAATCCCACCTCTGTAGACCCACAACTATTGGAAGCCCTAGAGTTTGCATCATCCTCCCCAACATCTTTGAGATTGCCACTCATGGGAAACCAGGCAATACAGGGGTCCAAGAGAGAAGTGAAAGGTTTAAAAGAAAAATCCACAAAATCAGGACCATATCTGACTCATCTACATTTCTAATGTTGCGTATAAAACCTGACACAGAGTAGGCACTCATGGTACAGTGTGGCCTGAGGGTAAGAATGGGGATGGAATTAGTGACAGTCTCCCCAAGGAGCCCAGGAGCCTGGCTTTCTTTTTTCAGAAGAAAGAATAAATTGAGAGAGATGCTAACATTTACATAACCATAACAGGAATCAGGGGAACATGCCTGCAATATAGTAAATGCTCAAGGAGGAAAGCAGATCAAGAAGGTAAAAATGGTAGACGGAGTATCAGCAGATCTGGGAAGGCTGAGGGAAGGATGCCAAATTCTCGCAGCTTATCTTTGAAAACCGGGCCGGCCCAAGGCTCACTCTGAGGGCAGAATGGAGGTGGGGCGAGGAAGGGTGGTGAGTTGGAAATCTCAACCCTCTTCCACCAACAAAGTATGGCTCAGCAGCCCTGCCAACTTACGTCTGATGGCTAGCAGGGCGACGGGTAACATTACACACACGGTATTTCCTCTTCATCTGTCCACAGTGGGTCACTTCTACCTTCAGACCTGAGATACACACACTGCTTGTCAGGGTTGGAATAGGTTACTCATTTGCCCAGGGCTGGCCTCTCCCCTGAACATATCCCAAGGGGATTTCCTCTTATAGCTAAAGAGAAAGTAGCGCTGTTTCCCTTCCCCGCTTGGTTGGGTCCTCACCCTTGATCTCCTTGGTGAAGCGAACGCGCTGAGAGTCCGTGAGGGGCTTGGGCTGCTCATCTATGTTCCTGATGTCCAGCACCTCACACATGAATTCAATCACTGGCTGTGCCTTGTAGAAGGCAGTAGCTGAGACTGTGGGGATAGGGTAGGAATAGCTCAGCTCAGGTTCTGTCTTCCAGAATAAATGGAGGCACTGCAATTTATACCCTCTTCCTTATAGGGTATTGGGATGGGGGTAGGGGGTGCCAGGGCTGTAGGAATTAGACTAGGAGTATGGTTGCAGAGCTGGGAGGGATGAGGCTGGGAGTGTGGTCACTGGACTTGGGGTGCCCCTGGCTCCATAGCTCTCCCCACTCACCATCAATGTTGAGCATCATCTTCCACATGGCAGGGCGCACAGACTGGTGAAAGCCGAACCAGACCTCGCGCCCACCCCCCAGCGGGTGGTAGTAGCCCTCAGGCGGTGAGAAGAAGGAGCGGCCCACAGGGGTGTACCTGGCAGGGACAGGCAGAGAACTGGTCCCTCGGGCACAGGCCCCCACCCTGTGAGGCATCCTGGGCACGGAGGAGCCCTGGCCTGGAAGGCAGGACACCAGGGCTTTAATGCCAGCTCCGATCCTTTACTAGTTGTATGACTGACCTTGTGCAAATTTCTACCTTTTCTCTGCCATGCAGGGACAAATGGGGTGAGGCCCAAAGACATCTAAGAAGTTCAGGGCCAGAGCTTTAAACCATCTAAATGTATACACACACTTGCCTGGCAAATGGTAGGGCTTCAAATAATTTTTTGTTAAATGGCACACTGTGGGACCTTAATATGTGCTCATTCCCCTCCTCCCCAAACAGTAGTTCTGCCAACACTAGCACCCCAGACACTAACTACACCCAATACCTCATAGATGCCAGGTGCCTCATGGCCACATCCAGGGCTTGCACAGACTCCAGGGGAACAGGGATCTGGCCACTGACCAGGGCCTCATGCAGCATGCGCCAGCTCACAATGGCTAGCCACTTGATGGAGACCTTAAAGATTCGATCCTTCCCTTCCCCAGGGATTGTCACCTCAAAGTCGACCTTCGGGAGGGTGAGAGAAACAGGTAAAGGATTGCATTGCTTTCCCACAGACCAGCATTCCTTGCCTTGCCCCAACGATCCCCCATTCCATGGATTTGCCAAGAATATGCTTCTCAGTTGATACGGGCTCATAATGAAGACTCCAAAGTAAATCTAGCCCCTTAGTTTCCAGCCACCTGAGAAGTTTCTAGCCACCTCAGTGCTTCTGTTCCTCTCAACCACCTCTCAACCCAGTAAGAAGCCCTTTAGGTCTATTTTAAGTTTAATCTCAGTATATTTAGGATAAGGACAGGCACGTAACAGATTAAATAAACATCAGCACCTACCCACCCCTCGCCCTAAAACACTTTCTGCGCACAAAAGTCGAAAAGGATCTCTGGATGGCCAGACTCCGAGCAGGCTTACATGAGGTTTGTTCCACCCCATACCCCTGACACAGGCCTAGCCTGACTCCCAACCTTACCCGTTCATTGCCAATGGGCAGCGCTGTGACAGTGTAAATGTTCTTCTTTCCATCATACACAGGCTTGCGATCACCAAATATCTGAGGCTTGAAATGCTGGACCATGTATTCCACCACTTCCCTGTGGGGGATAGGAGTGGCCTGTGGAAGCTGAGAGACTACCACTTCAAGCTTTTGGAAATAATTCAAAGCCCAGGCAATGTCCCGTCTATTATACTCACTCCTAACATCTATTCTATGGCAGTGCTTCTCAAACTTCAACATTCCTATGAGTCACCTGGAGATTTTATTAAAATGTAGCTTCTAATTCAGCAGACCTAGAGCAAAGCCTGAAATTCTTCATTTCTAACATGCTCCCAGGTGATGCTGCTGATCCTCAGATCACCAAGGCTCTGCGGGATCTGAAAGAGTGGATGTGAGCACCCTCTGAGAAAAGCGGGGGAGGCTGAGGGGAAACAGGTTTGGTCCCAGGGTCTATCAAGAATCAGGAAGAGAATCCAGACTGCTCCAATCTCCGATCCCCAATCTGATAAGCAAAACAGGAATGAGATCTGAACTGGAATAAGAATAAACTGTGGAAGAAAAACCTCATCTCCCTGAGGCCCTTAGTATCACTAAAATGTTTTCTCTCCATTATCATCTCTTTTTTGATTTCACTCCCTGTCCCCTGCGACTTCAATCCCAGAGTGTTCATCATTCCTTCAAAATTCCAGCTCATGCAACCAACTGACCTCTCCACTTTTTAAATCAAAAGTCTTAAATATTACTGGATAAATAGTATATAAGGAGCAACTATAATCACGTGGTTTCCATTCCATTAGGCTTCAGTGCTGCCCAGCAATCTTGTTTCAAGTCTCTGATTACTCCCAACCCTTACAGACTGTGTTGAACCTTCTCCACTATCCTTTAACTCTAGAATTCATTCCAGCCTCCTATCAGGAAGTAGCTCTATCACTGTAAAGAACAGAAGATAGTATTCAAGGCCATCCTTGAATTCCCAGACATACACACAAACATATTTATATGTACATGTGTCTTTTTCTCCTCCTTTCCTCTCACATTTGAAATGCCCCTTCCATGTATTATTTTTAAACATAAGAAAATATGTTCAACTTCACTTATTAGAAGAATATAATTTAAAATTAGACTAAGATATAATTATCTACTTATCAGAATATCAACATTAAAAAAAAGTCTTATATATTGGATTGGTACAGGTATGGGGAACAGGCACTGATATCTTGTTGATGGGAGTATAAATAGGCACAACTTACCTTTAAAAATTTTTGCAATATCTGAAAACTTCAAAATGTATTGTGCCAGCAATCCCACTCCTGGGAATTTATCTTATAGATACACTCATCTTTGAGTGCAAAAATGTATCTATATATAATATTTAACAGTTTCATTTTTGTAGCAGAAGTTAGACTCAACGTCAATGTTCCTCAATAGATTTATTAAATAGATTATAATACAGCCATTCAACGGAATACCTATGGAGCTATGAAAAAGAATGAGGCAGATTGAAATGTACTGATATGTATTATTTTCCAAAATATATTGTTTAGTGGAAAAATGCAAGGCATAGAACAAGGTATATAGAAACCTACATTTTGTGCATTTAAAAAAATGTTATGCATGCATACATGCTTGCATACACATAGAAAAGTATCTGGAAGCATACTCAAGAATAATAACAATTAATGCCTCTGGGACTGGAGACCGGGATAAGGAGACATTTTTCATCTCTCTTTTTGTAATACCTGAATTTTTTTTATATGGTACACATAGTTTTCGAATAATAATAAAATTAATTTTAGTAAGAAATATTGCTTCTGGCTGGGCACGGTGGCTCATGCCTGTAATCCTAGCACTCTGGGAGGCCAAGGTGGGCGGATTGTTTGAGCTCAGGAGTTCGAAACCAGCCTGAGCAAGAGCGAGACCCCGTCTCTACTAAAAATAGAAAGAAATTAATCAGACAACTAAAAATATATAGAAAAAATTAGCCGGGCATGGTGGCCCATGCCTGTAGTCCCAGGTACTTAGGAGGCTGAGGTGGAAGGATCGCTTGAGCCCAGGAGTTTGAGGTTGCTGTGAGCTAGGCTAACGCCACGGCACTCATTCTAGCCCGGGCAAAAGAGTGATACTCTGTCTCAAAAAAAAAAAAAAGAAATATTGCTTCTTCCAAGGCTAATCCCTCCAACTATGCATCCTCCCATGTCCTCCTGTCTCATCGAGAACATCCCACTCTTAGTCCTCCCCTCTTTGTCCTATACATTTAATCTCTCCTTCTCTACTAGTACCTGCTCAATCTATAAACATGCCCATGTCTCATTCTTGAAAACTCTTCATTCATTCATTTCAACAAATATTGAAATGTGCTAAGCGCTGTACTTGACCCCTATAGTCCTCTCGAGCCAACATATTCCCTCTCTTCCCACTTCACTGCCAAGCTATCTGGAAAAAGCTATCTGCTCTCACTATTTCTACCATATAACCTTCCACTTATTCCTTAACTCACTATAGTAAGATTAACTAGCCCAACTACTCCACTGAAATTGGTCTGGCAAAAGCCACCAATTATCTTCTAATAGCCAAATCCAAGTATATTTTTCAGCATTTACTTGGCATCTTGTTCTCAAAAACTTTCTTGGATTTGGTGATACTATCCTCTACCGGTTTTTCTTTTACCTTTCTGGCCCCTCTTTCAAGGTTCTGAGACTCAGGAAAGCAAAGACCCCCTGGACTTGGTGGCCTAGATGTGCATACTTACCGGTTGACTCTGCGGGGACACTTATCCGGCTTGATGTCCACCTCGTAGTGGTAGACGTCGATCTTAGGGATGTCCACCTCAAAGTAATTGGCCAGGAGCTTGATTGGTTTCCCCACAGTGCCAATGCCAGGCCGGCGAGGTGCCTGGAACACCTGCTGCAGGGGGGGCAGGTAGGCACCTGCAGCTACAGGACAAAGAGGCTGGTGAGGGTAAAGTCTGGCAATCTCCTAACTACTCTGATCAGAGAAGGCAAAATGCCTCCCAGAACAGGAACAGGCGACCATAGTGAAAGCCTCTTTCCTACTACCCAGCCCAGCTGAGGGCTTCCATTAGCTCAGACATCCAGGTTCATTTGTGTTTTGTTTTTTTGTTTTTTGTTTTTTTTTTAAACCTCTCTCCAGTTAGAAAAATTACTGTTGTCATTTATTTTAAATTCATCAAGTGAATATGTAATAAGTTCCTATTACATATAAGCAGAGGGGCTAAGTTCCTATTACATGTAAGCAGAGGGGCTAAATCTGGTTCCCAGTAACAAAACCCTTTTTTCCTTCTACAAGATTAAGACACCTACCTCCACCAGGTATCTAATAGTTCAAGAATGCCCTATTCTCTCCTATCCAGATGCTCGCTTCATTCATCATCATCTTGAACATAAAATGGCATCACCTTGATGCTCCTTTGCATGTAGGCAGGAGGAAGAACCAAAGGCCAAGCTGGGGAGAGTGGGGGCAGGTTTGAGACAGGATTAAAGCAACTGAATGGCTGGGGTTGGAGAAACAGAAAAGAAGAAGCTGGACATGGTTGCTCACACCTGTAGTCTCAGCTACTCGGGAGGCTCAGGTGGGAGGATCGCATGAAGCCATGAGTTCATGATCAGCCTGGGCAACATAGCAAGACCTCATCCCTAAAAAAATTTTTTCTAATAAAAATTAAAAAAAAAGAAAAGAAAAGAAAAAGAGAAAAGGCAAAAAGGATACAGTTTGGAGACTAAGGCAAGGAGAGAGGCTAAAGTAGGAGACTGGAGAAGAGGCCAGAACGGAAGGTCATAGCAGGAAAAAAGCTTGAATTGGCCAGGGAAAGGAGGGAAGGCTGGAGTTAGGGGCTGGGGCAAGATAGGTTAGAGTTGGAAGCTAGGGCAGGAGGAAACAGGCTGTAAGTGGGCAGGAGGAAACAGGCTGTAAGTGGGGACACAATGTTGAGAAAGCTTGAATGAAGAGGGAGTTGGGAAAGGAGAGGTAGCAATCAAAATGCTGAAGAAGGAAGAGACACTACCTTTGGGAAGAATACAAGATTCTCCCCAAGCCCCACAGATCCTTCCAAATAGAGGGTCCAGATAGTAGCAAAAGGGAACAATTTCAAGACTGAGGGGGCCCTCGGGAAAGGCTAGGGCAGGGCCAGCTCTAGCTGCTTTCTCCTCTCTTGCTAGTCTGATTGCTGCCCCCAGTCTCATTTTTTAGCTTGCGGGGACAGAAAAAACGGAAACAGCCTAAGAGAAGCCTTTGTTCTCAGCTACTATTGTCCTTAGCAGAAGACCAACCTAGGTAGGAGGAGAAAGGGATAAACCAGCCCAGGACCTCCAATTACCAGAGCTCGGCTTTCACAGTCAGATAGGCTGGAGCGGGGGGGATGGGGCATATACTCAGCTGGGGGGTGAGGAAGAGGTCAGAACCATTCATGGGAGGGGCATCCTTCCCAGAGCTAAGCTGTACAGTCTCCCTCGAACCACCTGTCAAGCCCAGCCCTACTCGGAGACAGGGAAATGGAGGCCCAGCCTGGAGGCAAAAAGTCTTCAGAACTCAGCTACGTGAGGAAATGAAAGCCTAACTACTGGAACCTGGCCACCTATCCCAGAAAAAGCTGGACAGAAATTGCACACAAGCCCATTGACAGACACACTTAGACACACATTTCCATCACCAACATCCACACACTTACACCAAGGTATGTTTACCTTTATAAACATACCCTTTACCATCTTAGACTGAGTTCTTCAAAGGCAAGGACTGTATCTGCCTTGGTCACTGCTTAATCTATAGTGCCTGGCACACACACAGGAGGTGTTCATTATACAAATATGAAATGAATGAACAAACATATCCAGACACACAAGCACACACAGCACACAAACACATGAACACCTGCAACTGCCCAGAAACAATTATAAACACTGCACAAGATAAACATATATCCTTGTGGATATAGCTGGTAAAAGACACTCTTCCCATCTCGAAGTTCTTAAATTCCATTCACCTCCTTAGCCTCCCAGGCTAAATAATTATTTGGTGCCTAGAGAGAAAGACATCCCCTAGAGCTGGGGCTGGGTGGATATCATGGGGGATGGAACATACACTCTCGCCTAAAAGCCTTCTCTTCCCAGAAACAGGACTACACAACAGACTTAGCCTTAGAGCACCTTCCTGTTCAAGGAAGCTTTGGGAAAACAGGGGAACCCACATCCCCACTTCATCCCTGAACTAGGGAAGGCTGGAGGATGTGGGACCCTGTCTCCCATTTCATTCCCCTGAAAGCCTAACAGCAGTACAAAGTCGCCCCCACCCCCTTACCCCAGCTCTTAGCCTGAGAAAGGGAGACACTTCCCTTCAGACCCAGACAGGGACAGACGGCCACTTTGTGATGCAGATGAGGGCCCCAGCACAGAGGACAAAGCTTGGGCCTAGAGGGAAAGGGGCGGGGCCCTTCTCTTCAGACAAAAGCAAGGAGGGAGGGTCTCTGAAAAGGACACTCCCCCTCCCCCATCCCCAACCACCCCAGAGAAGGAAAAGTAACAGAGCTGAAAGCCCTGGCTCAGGATTCCTTCCCTGCAGTTCTGAGGCCCACATACCTCCCAAGGAGCCAGACTGCCTATTCAAAAGACACAAACTCAAGGCTAGGTTAGCTGGTGGGTAAGCAAAGACTAAGAAGCCAATCTTTCCAAAAAGGATTTGTCCTCACATGAGTATACAGAAATTATTAAATATCCACCTATGTGCTTAACCATATATATTGACACTTGAATGTGATTCAGTTCAATTAATTAACATGTATTCTGTGTCAGGGCCTATATTCTAGGCACTTGCTGGTTCCACAAATAAATCAGACACTGCCTCTACCTTCAGGGAGCACCCAGTACAGTATATGTGCTTAGAATACACCTGAGCACAGAAGGCGCACTTGGGCATGAGCCCAGTGAGGCCAGCAACAACGCCTTAGTTTTGTGTCCTCAAGACACCACTTCTATTTCTTCCAAGAGAGTAACAGTACTGGCCTAGGAAGGAGGCAGTTATGGGGCCTTTCCATCCTCAGCTTCCAGACTGAATTTCAATTATACCCTTTGATGAGGCAAAGCCTGTACTAGTAGGCTTTTCCCAAGGCTATGAATAACTCCAGACACCAGGCTCTAGACCCTTCCCTAGAAGATTATTTCTTCTAGGGAAATAAACAAACAAAAAAGTCAATTTTTTCATCACTCCAGAGCCCATTAGGAATTCATCAGGATAAAATCATTAGCAGTCTAGAATGGGTGCCAGCTCCCAATAATCCACTGTGGACCTGATCCTCCCCCACCTGCCACTCTAGTCCACAGGTCGTTGGAAATAGTTTCCAGCCTAGAAAACCTGGAGTTCCTGGGATGAAGAGAGAGGGGCCTGACAGAGAGAGGAAATAGTTTCCACTGAAGTCAGTTGCTCCTTGTACTCAACCTTAGGACCATACCAGCCTCCTCAAGGTTGTCTGTTTGGGAGAAAGTAGTCACTAAGTACTTATAATCACTAAATGGATGACTTGAGTGAGGTGATAGCAGCTATTTCCTTGGGGAGGGGGAGGTTAGGCCTGATATAAAAGATACAAATTCTTCCACCAGGAAAATAATGAAGTTCAGTCCCAAATGGAAATCTGATTTCCATCTCCAGATCAAATGTTAGAAAGTGGTGAGAGAGAGCCTAAAGGATTCCCAGGTTCCGACTGCTCCTCCCATCACAGGGTAAGACACCTAACACACAAGAGGTACCACCAGCCCATCCTTAGGACTCCAGTCTTCTTGGGGCAGCCCTGCCTCAGTTTCTCCTCTGTCCTTATCTCCTTTTCTCCTGATTGCCTGTCAATAAGTTAAGACTATCACCTGGGACTCACCAGGGCAAAGGTATAAACTCCTGCCCTCCCCCAACTTGTTTGTAGCAGATAGACTAACTCAGCAATGTTGGCTCTAATGACATTGCCCTGACGGTTTCTGGGGAGTAGAGAGAAGAAAAAAGAAAGATACCCAGTGGGAGATAGGAGCCATGAAAATATTCAAGTATAGAGACTGTAATCTCAAGAGAATTCAATGGAAAAGGTAATTATCCTTGAATTAAAAGCCCCCATCTCTACTCAGTATTGGACGAGAAACTTGCAGACAACTCCTAGGTAGACCTGGTCCTGTCTTTGGCCCCTCAGTAATCAACATCTTTTCTAAGGCCTAGCTTCAAGAGGACCCGCCCCCAAAACATTGCCTGGGTCCCAGTCTTTCCTCATGCGGCAGAAAAAGGCACTTTGGCAGTATCCCTCAACCTATTCTTGGCAAATTGTGACTGAGGGGCCTCAGGGCCAAGTGTAAGAGCCCCCAGGGTGGGGGAAGGGAACCATTTCCATTTGCGCTCTGCCAGCATAACTTTAGAGAGAATGCACCCCATCAGCGCGCTCCTTTTTCCAAGCCAAACAGGGAGGGGGAGGGGTGGGGGTATTCGGCCAGCCACGCCCCCACCACGTCGGGCAGCCCCTTCCAGCTGCCACCTCCGCGCATGCTCCAGCGCCTCCGCTCCAGCTCCCCAGATTGACGGGGGGAATCCCAGGGCTGGGTCCCCACCCACCGCCCCCTGACCCTCGCCTCCGCGTCAGGCCCAGCTGGGGCGGAGCTCACAGCCCAGCTCTGGCGCCTTCTCCCAAGAGACATTAGCCTAGCCCAGCCCAGTCTGGCTGAGCCCCCGCCCCCAGCATGCGGTAGCTCCCAGCCCATCTGTGTCGCCCCCCTCCTCTCGTGGACACCTGGAGCCCGCCCCCTGCCACCTGCCGGGCCTCTCCATAGGCCTACCCGGATCTCCGAGAGTCCTTCCGTGCGTTCAGGCCCTTCTCCCAGACTACTTCCCACCCACAGGACTGCATATAGCCTCCTTGGACAAACGGGCCCCATCTCAGGGCTCTCTTCACATGGTTCTCCCCCGG